GATGCATTTTGATTAGTCTCCGGAAGACGTTCGGCATCCACACAGAATAATTACTACACTTGACGAATTGCTTGATATTCATTCATTTAAAAGGTTAAACAAAATTTGATTGCATTATTTAACTCAGAATATAAATATGTTCGAACATATTTATTTCTTGTTCCAGGAGTATCTTGTTAAGAGCTCAATAGATATTTATCTAATAATTATTTAATCATTTATGAAAAACTTATTAAATATTTTTATATCAATATTTTTACATTTTACGTGGTTCAAAAGTAATTTAAATGTTAGAAATATAAATATGATAAAAATATTGAGAAAACTCATAATCAATAGATAAATGTGAGTTGTGATGATAAATCATATTTGATATAATGTAAATTTAATATAAAATAATAATAAATATAAAAATGATATTTTAAGGAATTAATTTGAATTTGAATTTCACTATTTGTTTTATTTGAAATTATTTCACATTTAGGCCAATTTTAATTTCACTAAATTTTTTAGCCCTGCTGCTGGATGTTAAGAGAGTGTTGCAAGAAACTCTTATTTTCTATTCATATTTACTAAACCTTCCTTCTAGACATAGACATGAGATTTTCATCAAATTTATTTCTTTGTACAATTCATTTCGGACCAAACAAGCAAGAAATGAAAAGATTTTTTTTTATTTTTTTTCCCTTCAAACCAAACCCACCTGAAGAGCCGTGCTAGATGAGTTATTCATAGAAACTAAATTTTGAGTGAAAGATGAAGGAGATGGTTTTTGGGTGAACCCGGTCAAAATTTATGCCAGAATGTCTTGGGCCGGTTCAACAAGCCCCTGTGCAAATGATAGGAACGTTGGACATTGGATTTCTTGCTTTGGGACTGCTCCTCCTTCATCTATAACTGGGACCTTCTTGAATGGTGTTATCGGGCTATTAGACTCATTTAAAGCATCGTAAGGAGTTGGCCGGCAGTCAATAATGACGAATATTGCTGAGGAGGCCAACGACTTCAGCCTGTGAGAGCAGAGGCTTTAAATAGACTTAGCAGTGATAAGATAAATTTAAGATTATATGCACTCTAATTTTAAAAAAAAAACCAATAGCTGAACTTAACATCTAGATGAGATGAATCTTTGACATCACAAATATTGATTCGATTTAGGTCCAACTAAATTCAAATTAAACAGTACTTGAAGTATATATTTCAAATATTTTAGTCAAATCGTGCGGATCGATGGTGCAAATCCTATGAGCTAAGATCATCCAATTATGAGGTCATTAAGATACCCTAAAAATAAAAATAAATAAAACAATGAGAAAAAAAAATATAATTCATTGGACTTTTTTTTTTCAAAAGCAGAATATATTAATAAAAAGCAAATGATACAACAAAGTAGGGAACAAAACAAAAGAAAGCCAGAAAAATACAACCAAAGGAGCGGGCTCAGCAATCGGCCAGAGCTACCAGCGTCCCTGAAGCCACGCAGGACCGTCCAGTAAGGTGATTAGCGACCAAATACCTAGAAGCCAAACCAAAGGTTGCCACAGCAGAACAACAGGGACGCGAGCCCCAACCACATCATTGCCCTAACTGCACCGCAATCATCCCCTCAAACCTTAAACAATTAACAAAAACCCGATAAGAGAGCAAAGCCTAATCAGAAGAAGCAACATAAACTAGCGTCGACGACGACCTCTCCCATGAAGTCTCCCACGACATCTCCCCCGAGATGCAACATTTATGCTAGGACTAGCACGAACCAATGTGAAATCGTTGCCAGGGTCTGAACCCCCACAAATTTCCGGAGACATCATGCCACATTCAGAAAATTCATCCTTCCAACCAATTAAGATGACTCCTAATGTCCACCCCAGATGAATCTCCCAAACGATTAGCCAAAGACTGTGAATCCACCACATTAACAGGAACCTCAATTAGAGGATTACCAGCTACTCTAACTTCCGATGCAATGTCCACAGTAGTAGATGCTAAAGCAGGGGGAAAAAAAGGCAGAGCATTTGGTGAAAGACCAAACGTGACAGCATCCGAAACAAAACCGTCAGCTACTCTATCAACAGAATCATCCACAACCATAACATAGTCTAACTCGCCATCAACAGTAGGCAATAAAGCAGGTTCAGGTTCCGAAATAACACCACCCAAATTAAATACATAATTCTAACTGAATATGTTTTGCCCTTTTTCAAGGGAAAGTTAAAAGCCAACTTAATTTTCTTAAAAATCAGATATTAAATAAAAGAATAAAAAAGAATTATGGGAGAAAACAACTGATATAAAAAAGGTAAAAAAAATATCAAAAACACGTATTGTATAAGACCTTTAGGGGTGAAATCTATAAGCACAAGCACAAGTTAAAAAACTTTAATAAATATAGTGTCAAAACAAAGGAAAACATAATCACATTAAGGCCGGTTCAAAAAAAAAAAAAAATCTAAAATGGTTGCCATAAAGAGCTTCATCCAAACTATAAGAAGATTACTCAATTGAGCTCATTAATCATAATCCTAAATGAGATATCAACAAGTTTAGGAGCATAAAATAAGTCTAAATGTTTGTCTTACTTTGAGAGAACATCTCTTGAAGACAAAGGCACATATGAAAATATCTAAAAATAAAGATTCAGTTCAATAGAAAATGAAATTAAGTATCTGATTAATTTCTATAAAAAATCCACCATCTCATTATTCCAAAATTTAGATATCCTCCCATGATTCTACTTTCTCATGCAAGCGAGGAAATCAATGTTTCCTTTAGGATAACTTTCTTAATGTTTTCATGATTTTTTAGTTAAAATTTCTTTTGAATTAGAAATTTTTGTACTAACAAGTTATTTTAAAAAGCAATGAGAAAACTAGCCCAAATGAAGCCCAAATCTATCACAAATAAAGAGGTTCTTGTTATGTATTAGTCCTAGATTTAGGTTTGCTTTTGTGTAGCTATTTGTATAGCTGTAGGTGTTGCTTTTGTGCCTATTAATAGGCTTTAGCTTGTATTAGGAAAGAAGCCATGGAATAAAGGAATTGGATCTTTGTGGCTCACGGTCCCTCTCTCATCTCCCTCCTCTCTCCCTCTCTTGATCTTGCAAGAAGATCAAACAACATCTTCCTCACTAGTTTCTACATTTGGTATCAGAGCATTGGCGGCGATCAAGGAAGGAGGAAGGTGTTCGGTCCAAGAAGAGAGGAGGCGGGCTCGGCGAAGGGAGCGCCGGCTGGAAGATCGGCAGAACAGGCCGGACGTCAGGCGACGTTACCGGAGGCGGATCAGGCGAAAGAAATTGCAGAACGGTGTCGGACTTGGGCGTGGTTCTGGATTTTGGCGTGGATTTGACGGCTTGTTTTTTGACCGGCTACCGGAGGAGAAGCCGGAGGCAATTTTTTTTGTTGCCGGTGCCACAGTCGGCGGCCGGTGCCTCAAGCGAAGTTGGAACACTCGGCAAGTCCAGACGAACATCTTTGTTGTTTCAATTTCGCAAAGGGCAGGGATGCCGCCGGCTTCTGATGCATGGGTTTCTAGAAATGTTTTGGAGCCTGCTTTGTACTATTGATGATCTTGAAATGGCTGTTTCTCAAAGCGGGGCTTAAGAAGGATCTGACATCGGAAGTTGCAAGCAAGAAGGTATGTCTGAGGTGGATGCACAGGGCGTGGAAGCCGGGCTAGGGGTGCTCGGGATTGGCTGCGTTAGACGCAGTGCGACATGAGATCTGTCGGGGGGTGGAGCTAGAATGTCGGTGGACGCTTTTGACGGAGGAAGACCGACAGGCTGTTCTTTAAGAACAGTGGTTATCTTTTATTTTTGTAAATCTAGGCCCAATGTGTAGATTGTTGTGTTTTGTTCCTATATTTAGGATTCTTTCTTGTATAGGTTTTGTGTATGGCATATGTAGCCATTTGTGGGGCTATTTGTATAGCCTTTAAGAGTCTTTAAATAGGTGTGTTTAGGCTTGTAATAGGTAGCCAAGGAAATAAAGTTTTGAAGCATTTTGGCTCACGGCTCTTCTCCCCTCTCCCTCCTCCTCTCCCTCTCTAGAGATCTTGCAAGAAGATCTTCCTCCTTTGGTGTTCTACAGACCCTATACAAGTCCAAATGGGTCGAAATAGAATACCTAAAGTTCATTTAGAAAGTTCAAACAATAAATTGGATGACCAAACAATTTCCAAATGTGACATGCTTATAGTCGAATCAAGCAGCTCGAAGAGACAAATCCAACGAGCTCAAGATCATTGAATTATGATATTATTAAGACACTCAAATACTCGATAAACCATTCACGATCAAGGGTGTTGATATCAACCATCCATTCAAAACACTCCCAACATGTTATTAATCTACTACCTATTTAGTGGTCGGTCATTCTCCAAAATTATAAATATATCCTTCAATTTTCATTGAAGAGGGAACTAAGGAGGAGAAGATGAAGAAGAAAGAGAAATTTGATCTCTCTCTTTCCACCATGCCCCTCCTCGACCATCGTTAGACTTTCGCTAGACTTCCGTCCGGCTACCAACTATTGTCGAATTTATGCCCGGCCACTGACTGTCGCCAAACTTCCGCTCAGCCACCAATTATTACAAGACATATGCCCTGACATGGATTGTCAATGAATCTCCTTCCGATCTCCGTCGCTAGAAAATGGTTTTTTTGACCATTGTTCAACACGGTCATTCCGACCTCTGTCGCCATATAATGATCTTTCTGACCTCTATCGCTTAAGCCTTCAAACCTCGATCTATCGTCAGACAACGATCTTTCTAACCACAGTCCCCCACCGACTATGGTCTCTCCAACTACCATCTCCAGACTACGGTCTCCACGACTATCGTCGCCCAACCTTATCCCTTCCGACCTAAATTGCTCTTCGACTACGGTCCTGCTGACCAAACAAACATTTAAGCATTGATTCTTCCAACACCCACCATATAATAAACTATATATAAATGTATATTGACTACATCAAGTCAAGACCTTCTCCCCAAGAAAACGACTCATTTGTAATCGACTACAAACACTTGTGAATTCATTTAAACTGATAAGGCACCATAATTTTTTCCTTTTTTTCAAAAATTTCCACGTTAAAACCAGTGTTTTTTTATGAATGATACACCTTTAATTACTATTTATCTGTCTGCTGCATCTTCCAACAAAATTATGACATTAAACTTTATCACTCTTTACAGCCAACAATAATAATTCCGATCGAGTTAGGAAATCAACAGAAATGGTACTGAATGATAGACTGATGCATGGTAAGAAATAGGAAAATCAGCGCAAAAATGAAAATTTTAAACTACGAAAACTACTTAACGTTGCATTTTGAAACAGAGGGGGCGTAGATGCCGTTGAATCAGAGCTGGAAATATCAGGGAGGCGATATTCATTCATCACCCACTCTGTTTTGGTCCCTGGAGGGACTCTTCCGCGGTAGTAAATAAGAGTCTTCTTCAAGCCGATTAGACGAGACGACGGGGATCAGCCACACTACGAATGGACCGATCGGAACTGGTAGCTTTCCAGAAACCTCTCTCCGTCGTCCGATTCGGCCGATCTCCGTTCCCTCGTCGCCGGTCCCTTGGCACGAAGAAGTACTATTCCTCTCCCCCATCTTAGCCAAAGCTGCAAATTAATTATTTGTTATATTTATATTAAGCTAATTATGAACTCATATGTATATGTATATATACCTGGGAGATCCCAGGGATCATAGAGGCAGAGATTGGTGGTGGAAATGATGCTAAAGCTCCGGTTTTTCCCGGTGACTGATCGCCGGAGATAGAACTCGAAAAGCTCCTCCTCCGCCGGATGGAACCGGAATCCCGGCATGTTCTTCTCCGATCCACACCTTTCCATTTCCTTCTTTTTATTCTTCTTTAATTTCTTCTGTAGAACGGCGATTAATGGAATTCCATTGCGCAGGAGGTTATCCGACCAAAATGTTTTTAAAAGCAAAAAAAAAAAAAGAAGTGAAAGTGGACTATATTTAATATAAATTATGTATTATATTTATTTGAAAATAATTCTAATATTTTAAAACCCCAACAGCAACAACAACATCAAGCCTTTGTCCCACTACGTGGGATCGGCTACAGGAATCTTTTTTTGTCATCGTGTCATGTTAAAAGTCAAATTCTCATTTAAATCTAATAAAGAAATATTATTTCTAATATTTTATAACCAGTCTTTTTATGTCTATTTCTACCTTTCTTAACATAAGTCAAATTTAATACATCAACTTTCCTAACATGATCGTCGTAAGGTCTCCGTTTAAAGTGACCAAACCATCTAAGGCGACTCTTTCTAATCTTATCTTCCACTCGAGCTACTCCAACCATTTCATGTATATGCTCATTTCGTATCATATCTCTAAGGGCAAAGCCACTCATCCATCTAAGCATCCTCATCTCTGAAACACTTAACTTAGTATTATCCTTCTCTTTTAATGGCTAACATTCAGCACCATAAAGCATTGCAAGTCTCACCACCATCTTATAGAATTTTCCCTTAAGTTTGAGGGAAACTTTTCTATCACACAACAAGCCCGAAATTTTCCTTCACTTCAACCATCCAACTTGAATTCTGCTGATAATATCCTCATCTATTTCATCATCATTTTGAACAATAGTTCGAAGATATCTAAAACGTGTACTCTTATTAATGACTTGATCGCCCAAAGTCACAATCCCCTCACTACATCAAATTTATCAAAATATTTTAATATAATTTTAAAAATATTAATTTATTTATAGATTAATATAATATGATAGATAACTGATTATTTATGTATATATATTTTTAATTTTAAATTTAAATTTAAAATATTTTTATAGATGAAGAATTCCACTTTGACTGCAATATAATTATGGATTAACTTATTTATTAAAAATTAGTGGCTTAATCTAATTAATTTTTAATTAGTGTTAAACTAATGATGAATGTGGGTATCTGTGGACATCGTATTAAGAAGAGAGGAAAGGCTTGATGTTGTTGTTGTTGTTGTTGTTGTTAAACTAATGAGGAATGTGGGTATCTGTGGACATCGTATTAAGAAGAGAGGTAAAAGCAACTCAACTCAAGTAACAGAAGTAGAACGACATACACGAACTTTAACTGACTCATCCAATCAGAGCTAAACACATGTACTAGCACACACCTACTAATTAGTATAAATACATGTATGAATTGTAGGTTGTAAGGGTACGAATGAATCTTAGTGAGATAATGACAGAGTAGTCTTACAGTTATCAGAAACATTTTCCCGTTTGGTACCTGACTCGGTACTGCTCGGTATCCGGCTTAGTACTGCTGACGTGACCCATTTTTGTTGGTCTGTGGACAATGAATTGTATTCGACGTCCGCACAGAATAATCTCTCCATAATAAGACCATAGCTGATTTTGTCTGACCGTTTAAAACCATTTTATGTCATTATCTCAAAAAATTTTAAAAAAAATTCGATGGAAATTTATGCAATAAAAAAAACTTGCAATGGAATTTAATTTATCCACTCAAGGGAGATTCCACTTATGGTGGCTAAAAAAAATAAAAGAAAAATCGAGTTTTAATTATAATTTACAATGTTGTTAAATTGAGGAAAAAAATGTGTCAAAAAACTCAATGCAAAATGCATTAAGATCAGTATAATTTAAATATCATATAAAACCCTAATCTAAGTGTAAATTTAAGGATGTTCACTACAGGAAAATATTAGTATACTTGGAGAATTTTCGGTAGAAAATGTGTCGGAAATTACCAACTGAAATTCTGGCCCAAAATATGCCAGCTTACTTAAACCCGACAAAATATTTTCCAGTGGTAATTTCACCGGAAACATTTCCAACGATATGACGGCCAGAAAAGGCCCCATTTACCTTCTCATTTAACTCCGGCTCATTTTGCTTTGCTCATGCTCGCGTCAAGCAACCTACTTGTGTCAGTTGCTTGCTGTCGAACGCCTCATCCATCACCTTCGTGTACACTGCTCTGTCATTGAAGAGCTAAAGATCGCTTAGATTGAACAACCTAAAGAAACTAAAATGCTGAACAAAAATTTTATGATTAGGAGAATCAATATAAAATGTCTGATAAAGTGTTTCAGACTTCCTCCATATTGCTTGAGCTAGAGCTCGGAGTTAGAATTGAGATTAAGTAGTTGGGTAATCAAGTCATTTTAGTAGTAATAGATCTAATTGTTGGATTGTGAGATTGTATGATTAAGTCATAATAAAAGAGTTCATGTTTTAGGTATGTTGAGTCTATTGTCCAAAGTAAATGTGAAATAGACGGATATTATTAGTAGTTCAAGTTGGATTATTGAATTGGAGGAATATATCGAGCCTGCTGTGTGATAGAAAGGTACATCTAGCTCAAATTTAAGGGGAATTTTTATAAGCTATCGGTGAGACATGCAATCCTTTATGGCTCAGAATGTTGGTCATTCAAGTTAAGTATTGCAAAGATGAGAGTGCTTACACTTCGAGACAAAATATTAAATCAGTATAGACTTGCAAAAATTGAGTAATTCCATTGGCATGAAAGATTAGAAAGAACCGTCTTAGATTGATTGGTCACTTAAAACATCAGCCACCGTAGACACCTATTATGAGAGTAGATTTAAATGAGAATTTGACTCTTAATAATACATAATGGAGAAAAAAAATTCATATAATTGAACTCATATAGTAGGATAAATGCTTAATTTATTTTAAAAATACTTGAGCTATTTTAAGCTAATTTTATGTAAAGAACTCAATATTTATTCAAATATTTCTTTAAATAGCTAATCAAACTATAAATATTATTCGATTAAATATATAATTTTCTAACATCGAACGATCGGCTTTATAGGATAGAATCAGCTAAGAAGTCCAGACAAGTCAGGTCTATGAGGGCCCATTTTATAAAAGGCCCATTTAAAATATGCTAATAGTAATTCCGAGACTCTTTAATTAAATTTATACTTCAATATATATCATAATATCATAATATTATGATGTAAAAAATTCAAATAATAGAGCTCATATTTCCAAGATAAGAAAACAGTACATACACTAGAATTAAAAAAAAAAAACAAATATTAAATAGATTAAGTAAAAATATTCTGAAATATTTTATATTATAATGGGCTTCAAAGTCTTGAATTTATACAGACATTAGTACACCTCTTTGATATAAGATGCAAGTATGCAACACAATATTTTCAGCATAAATTTAAAGACTTAGGCTTTGTATGAGACGATTTTTTTATTGCTTTTTAAAACAAAATTAGAAAATTTTATACTAGAAAATTATTTTTGAAAGCGGTGCACAAGCTATCCCAAAGGACCAACATGAAGCCTTAGGCCTTAGGCTTCATTTGGGATGACTTTCTAACAACTTCTTAAAGCATTTTTTTAGTAGAAAAAGTAAAATTTTTCTACTAAAAAACTGCTTTAAAAAGCATTAAGAAGGCTTCAAGTTTGCGATAACTTTCTTATTGCTTTTTAAAGCAATATTTTAGTACAAAAAATTTAAAATTATAATGTTTTTACTAAAGAGTTGTTTAAGAAAATAGTTAGAAAACTATCCTAAATAAAGCCTTAAAAGTTGGTCTTCATACAAAACAAGCCAAGGTATTCTTACCTATTTTTATAGCAATATAATGATGTGAAAATTCAAATAATAACTTATATTTAAAATTTTTAAAAGATGGGCACACAGAGTTATGCCAAAAAGAAATTTAAAAAAAAAAACTACAAAGCTATCGTTCTTCTTATATTATTATTATTATTATTGAACTACTCATAAAAATCTGGATAAAAATTAATGAATTAAGATATTTTTAACCATCCTAAAATATAAATCAAGCAAATGAATTAAATCTAAATTATGGGCTTTTTTTCCTTCAATTGTGAATGCGCTTAAAAAGACTATACAAATTTGCTCCCTATATTTTTCGCTCACAACATTGTACATCTCCTCACAATTCAAGCATTCATTTTTCATTAAAGAATTAATCTAAGTATATCATATTTCTTCTGTAATGAATATTCCTCCTATTATCTTTTCTTCATAAAAAATTAAGAATTCATCTTCATTTAAATAAATAAAATTTATTTAATTTTATAAACATAACTTCGATTTTAAAAAATCTAATTTAATGTTATCAAGTTAAACTAATTTCGTGTTTATCTTAATTATAAATAGATAAATTTCTTATTTTCAAATCATAAGTATATATGTTCTATCATTTTATTGAAAAAGAGTTAGTTATCACCTATAAGTAGTGGGTAGGTAAAATATTTTTTATATTTATACATTGTAGTATTTCATGTTAGTATAAAAAAATATAAAAGTTAATACTTTATCTTTTTTGAAATCCACTATTAAATATTTTATTGTCACATAAAATTTTAAATAATATATAATATATTTAAAAAGAAAAATAATATTTAATGAATATCATATAATTAAAAATTAAAAAGAAATTAATTATATGCTTTTAAATGTTTATACCTATTTTAAAGCAATTCTTTTTAGTATCAAAATTTTTAATTTTTGTACTAAAATCTACTTTAAGAAAACCTTTATATCATATAAAAAACAATCAAATTGAACAAAAAAAGTAAAACCAAATGACAAAAATATTGCATATTAAAGTAATTACTCACCCACCGATGCTTAGCTTAGTGGGCGAGTACAATTGAAAACCCTCAACCCCTATTTTAATCCCCTTGAGTAGCAACGCCTCTTAAGTAGGGTCCCAATAAGTACGGGCCAGCAGGTTATCTGGAGTAGGTGCCTCTTTTAGGTCAGTCGAGGGATTAGATATGTCGTCACGCAGCTCACAAGCTGAAGTGGCAGCAAGTAGATACCCAAATAAAAAAAAAAAAAGTAATTACTCATCAAACAATCAAAGAAAACAGA